GGGGCAGTGAAAGCAGGCACTCTACCACCTAAAAAGCCACCAAACATGTTAGCACACCCCCAAACCTCAGGGCTTACCTCTCACCACTCTCTCATTTTATCATGTTATACAAGTTTTTATATATATATATGAAATGTTACACAAGTTTTTGTGTATTTATGAAATACATTAAAATTCGCATAACATTAACACACATACGTGTTACACACACACACACACACACACACACACACACACACACACACACACACACACACACAAAATGCACTTGTCTACCTTGGGCTGACGTTTGATGTCCTGCAACATTACCACTGGATCTGGATTAGGCACAGCATGGGCAACTATGGTAGGCCCAAAGATTTTAGCCAGATTAGCCACATCCATTTTAGTATTTGGGCTCTGAGCCACTCTAAACAAGAGAATATTCAATTAGAAGACTTTGTCCATCCACTTAAATGCAGATCTACCAGAAAATATAAGATCCACCAGAAAACAATTCACCCCTCACGTTCCCTCCCTAACACCCAACCCACATTATGCTCCCAGTGGCAAATTCCCAACCTCTCAGAAACAAGTTTCTGCTGTACTCACCTCTGCAAGTGAATCATAAGGAAAGCTAATGTGTCTCTGTTGGCCTGGGGCAGGTCACCAATAGCCTGGTACATGGCAGCTTTGCTGTTGTCCTCATCTGGGATTTCTGTAAATGAAAGGAAAGCACCAAGAGGCCTAGACTTCTTTCTCTTGACAGCGGGCTTCCAAGTGATCGACCACAAAGTGTCATCTATACAGTAAGCTTCTGAAACTTCTGATTAGGTTCATGACTGAAACGAACTCCAGTTTCATTAACAAGCAGGACACTAGCCAACAGCTCAATATTAGAAATCGGAACCTTCACAAAAATCGGCCCCTGCAGTTAGGGAAAGCAGCTAGCAAGCCTTGTGCTGGGAAGGCAGGCCTACAGCCGCAGCGACTACAATTACCAAGAAGGTTTTCATCTATAAAACATGTTCAAGGGCCCACTATGTACCAGGTACTATTCTAAGTGCTCAGGTAAAGCGGAATTAAGCAAAGACTTTGCCTCATGGAACTTACATTCTATTAGAGGAGTCAGTCAAAAAGCAGGTATCTATCAGGTAGTGATACACAGGGGAAGCTAGAAAGTAATGGGAGCGGTTATTTTGGACAAGGTGGTCAGGAAAGGTGTTTTTGAGGACAAGACACCCAAGAAGAAACCCAAAAGAAAGAAAGGGAGGAAGGAAGGGCAAATCATGAAAATACATTCCAGGCTGAAATAATAACAAATGCGAGGGCCTCAAGATGGGAGTGAGCTTGTCAAGTGCTAAGAGTCGCAAGAACCCCAACAAGTGGAGAAGAAGAAAGAAGGGAAGGGCATGGAGAGAAATGATGCTAGAGACGTAAGGAGCCAGCTCATACAGGTGGGGTCTTTGGGGCCATGTTAAGGGCTGTGGATTTTATTCCGAGAGTGATGGGAAGCCACTGGAGATACTAAAGACAGAAGGGCTATCATCTAATATAAATTTTAAAAGGACCCCTCTGGATACTACATGAGGATCACAGTGTCGAGGGCCAGAGTAGAAAAGGGAAAACACTAGGTTCTTCTGTCACTCCAGGATGAGAGATGTCAAGAGGGGTAGTAGTAGGAGTGGCAAATTTCAATTTTAAGATAAATTTTACAAGACCTCTGCTGACAAGATTTGCCAATGGATTAAATGTGGTGTGGGGGAAAAGAAGCCAAAGATGGCTCCAAGTTCAAAATGACAATCTCAAACTCTACCAAAAATAACAACAACAACAAACCCTGTTAACGCCCTGTATAGTTTAGACAGGAAGAGGACAGGCACCAGGAACATGGATACAGGCATTCTTCATCAAAGTATTTGAGCATCTACTATATGGCAGGCACTGTACTGGGCAGTAAACAGAAGAGTCAAAAATTCCTGCCCCTGGGGCACTCACATTCTAGAATTAAAGATCTACTCTTACCTGCTGCTTCCATGAAAGTCTTGTTTAGCCGAAAGGTCAGAAGGGGTTCTTTGAGATTTCGAAGGAAGTCCTTCAGGAGGCTACAGATAGCATGGATATCATCCACTTTGCTGAGGAGGGGTACAGTTTTCACTCTGAGGAATTTCTCTTTTAGCTCTTTTACTGTCCGGTCACAGCCAGAGATCCGATACAGGCCTGTCTATTATCAAGGTGACACTTTCAGAAAGAACCTCCTAATCATTAACACAAATAACAGATTCACGCTCTCTGAAGGTTGACTCTTACCTCTGTCAGCCCTCTCTGCTCAATCTCATTTACGCAATGGACAACAATGGAGGGAATCATTGGAGAAGTCTGGGACACATAATCTGCCAGGATTCCCTGAAAAGGGAGAGTTTTAAGTTATTATTTATTACCACTTAGACCAGCAAATGAAGATGAATAGGAAAAACGTCTCCAAACTCATGCTCAGGTTGGGACGTCATGTTTACTTTTAAATTCCTGTTCCCAAAGCATACATTAGAACAGAGACTCTCCGTTTGTTGTTTTTTTTTTTTTCCTACCTCCACACCAGGACTGGTTTCTGGTCACGTACCACATTCTTGCATGAACAAGTAATATGACCACTATCTACAACTCTACTCCTGCTTCTCTTCTACTCAAGGGCCTCAGAAAACAAGCAATGACAAGATTACAGGTATAGCCTTTAATATAAACTAATTTATTATTCTAAAAAAGAAAACCTTTTTACACTTCTATTACTCTTAGTAAGAAAAATTATTTAACACAAGTCACAGTTGCTCGGGACACAAACGTATCTGTAGGGGAGAACTCCATGGTTCTATATCAGAGTACAGAAAATTTGTAACCAATTACAGGCACAAATAAGAACTCCTAAGATTAAAAAAAGTAACATTTGATTTGCTGGGGGCTGGATAGCAGCATAATCATTTTGTTTTGAATCTTAACACTGGTCATACAATAAATAATTTATTAACAGATTGAATCAATGTTTAGAAATAAGCAATCTAATCTTAATAGCCTAGTATAGAATATCTCTAACATAAGAGAAAGTACATTCACAGATGAAATTGCAGGATGGCTGGGATTTGTTTCAACACAATTCACTACACAGGGCCAGGAGGACATGGGGGTATTGATAAATCAAAATTGGACATGAAGTAGTAATCACAGAAGTTGAGTGACAGGAACCAGGGATTATTCTAATCTCTCTACTTCTGTATATGTTTGAAATTTTACAAAATAGGAATAGAGTGTGGAGGGGAAGGAAGAGAAGAGGAGAGGAAAGGAAAGAAGGGAAAGGAATAAGGAAGGAAAGGAGGAAAGGGAAGGAAAGGAAAGAGTATGAGTAGGGAAGAGGGGACAGGGTGGGAGAAAGGGAGGGAGGGAGAGAAGGGAAGGGAAGAGGAGTTTGGTGTAGAAAAGTTACTAAATAGACAAACCCAAGCAGGACTCTCCTGCAAATTAACATTTTATAATTTCTCTTCAACATTCATGGAAAAAAATATGCTTCGTATCACTTATTTTAGGATAAAAACGGACAGTAAGCTTTGGAAAAGCTAAAGAAGCCATAACACAAGGACAGCTCCCACAGCTGTCACACACGTGGTCATACCTCTCCAATCTTGACAGGTGTTCCTATCAGGGTAGGAATGCAGGGAAGGGGACAGCGGTCCCGACATTCTGGATGAGAGACCACACGACAATCTCGACACTTCAGAGACAGCTTGCCAAACTTTATCCGCTTTCCACATGGAACACAAGATTCAGGTTTAATAACCTGAGAACAAAAGAGGGCAGAAAGAACAGAACGGTCTGAATTAGAAAATTATCATCATCAACAACCAACAACCTCTTAATTCCTTTACACTTATTTGTGTAATTCTCGCAATAATCCTACAATATAGGTTTTGTTTTCTTTGTTTTAAGATAAGGGAATAGAAGCAAAAACAGCCTGTGTAACTTGCATAAGGTCATCCACCTGGAAGTGGGCAGTGTAGAGTAGTGGAAAGAATCTGCTGACAAGGAGTCACAGAACCTCCGTGTTAACTCTGCCACTTAGTGTCCTGTGGCTCAACAACGCAATTGATTCTTCTGAGCCTCAGTCAGTTTGCTTGGGTTTTTATGAGGAAATCCAATGGGACAAATGTAATACATGCTATTTTTAAGAATACAATGTAAATATGTATCACCGAAAAGCATAAACAATTGTTTCTGAAAAATTGGCTTTGTTTTAATTTAACATTACTCACAGAATGGAAAGATACACACCTTCTGTAACCAGCAGTTAGCCCTGATAAGTGGAAACGAAAGAAGGAGACGTGACATTTAACTTTCTAACACTAAGTTATTTAAATCTGCTCCTGGTATATATTAATTTCACAATCAAAAAACTAAGTGTGCCCTAAGGTGCCTGGGTGGCTCAGTTAAGCATCCAACTTCAGCTCAGGTCGTGATCTCATGAATTGTAAGTTTGAGCCCCACATCGGGCTCTCTGCTCAGTGCAGAGCCCGCTTTGGAAACTCTGTCCCCCTCTCTCTCTGCCCCCACCCCCACTCACGCATGCTCTCATGCTCCCTCTCTTTCGAAAAAAACCCAAAAACTAAATTAAAATTTTCCATTAAAAAGATAAATAAACAAACATTAAAAGAGAAAAAAAACTTAAGTGTGCCCAAAAGAAGGAGAATCACGGATCTACCGTCTTAGAGACAAAGTCATGCAGGCGCATCCCTCCATTATTCTGTGGAGTGCCGGAACTGTCTGTCTCCGTTCTTGGCTCCAGCTGCCTGCTGCTCAAGGTAGAGTCGCTGTTCCAAGGTTGTAAGGTACCTAGGAAACAACCAACTTTAAGCCTTTGTGTCTTAATATTTTGTCCCTTATGAATTTTAACCCTGATTCTAAAATAACTGGTAGACAACCAGTAATTTGTAACCATAATCAGAAGTGACTACAACAGCTATGCAGAAAAATCAGTTCAAGAATAACAAGTTATACACAAGTGGCCTAGGCCAGGCTAGCAACCCAAAGGCAGAGTATGATACTGTGCAGAAACGTGCAAGAAACGAAGGAAGGATTCTAAAAAACCAAGTCTCCCCAAATTTTACCAGTTGCTTTACACAGGCAATTTAACCAAAAACCCAGTGGACCTGTTTTCCTTCGGCTTCTCGTCCAATATGGCACAGTCTCAATTGTAGACACAGCTTCAATGGGCCCGCCATCATTGGGAACAGTCACTGTAGTTTTTGCAACTATGGATTCATTCCCCTGAAACAAAAACAGAAATGAGCGAAGAATAAACATGTGAATCTAATTTCCCCTCCGCTAAACACCCCTCCATAGGGTGTTTTGGAGTGGTTGAAAAGTTCCTGAATCTTGGTCAGGACTTAAGGACCCAGCTCAAAACACTCTTAAGTTGAAACCTCATACTTCAGAACAAAAAAACAGGGACACCTGGGTGGCTTCATCAGTTAAGTGCCCGACTCTTGATTTCGGTTCAGGTCATGATCTCATGGTTGTGAGATGGAGCTCCCCCTCGGGCTCTGTGTTGGGCTGGAGCCGACTTAAAATTCTCTCTCCCTCTGTCCCCTCTCCTGCTCACACACACACACTCGCTCTCTCAAAAACTAAAAACTAAATACACAAATAAAAAGAATATTGAAAAAAATATATATAGGGGCGCCTGGGTAGCTCAGTTGGTTGAGGCTCCGACTTTGGCTCAGGTCATGATCTCACGGTTCGTGGGGTTTGAGCCACGCGTCGGGCTCTGTACTGACAGCTCAGAGCCTGGAGCCTGCTGCTTGGATTCTGGGTCTCCTCTCTCTGCCTCTCCCCCGCTCATGCTCTGTCTCTTTCTCTCTCAAAAGTAAAAAAAAAAACTGAAAATATATATATATGTGTGTCACAGAGGCACACATACAAGCAATGAAGAATCAAATATAAAGCTGAGAGTTGTTTATTCAGAGTAATTCCATTCATAAGGATGATGAGGATCCTATTACATTGAAAAACTCACCAAATCTCTCTCTCAAAATAACACTGCAATGTTGACTCAGGATTTTTAATGCTTGGGGCCACTAATCTCTGATGTGTTCACAACCACAATTCTCTTGGCCTGAATCTTCTTACCTGGTCTACTGTGGAGCCAATGGAACGAGTCTTCTTTACAGGTCCAGGGGGACCATCAATGAATTGTCGGCTACTAGAACGCTAGAAAGGAAACAAAGACCAATAAGTTCAGTGCCAAATAGAAGATCTGAAGCACAGAAGACAAAATTATTCCATTAGACAACCTGGTGCAAGTCCTAGCTACCAGGGCTATGGTAAATGACAATGTGCTCTCTCCCATTCTATTTCCATTTCTTAAAGCTTACATTGTACCAATACAAAAGTGCCCTCAGTGCCCTAGAAGAAACAAGCAAGCTTTGGAAAAATCTAGATGACAGCACCAGAAAGAGTACAGCTGTAATCCTATCTGAGTACATGAAGACTCTGGAAACATATGAAGTACCCTGAACAACTGCACACAGACAGATCTCCGCATATCCCATTATACACACATTTCATCTGAAAATTTTATTAGAGTACAAAAGTACTGCGTAAAAATACATATGACAACTCAAAACAAACTTAAGTATATCCTTTTCCACCCCATGAATGAACTGAAGCAGCCAGAACAGTGAAATAGGACAAGATTCTGTCCTGAGTTCCCACCTTAAGGAACATCAATGCTGCCCCCCAGCATAAATTCATTTTGTAGTCAGTGTTTAACAATGACTAGAGCAACAGGTCAGGAATGCTGTATCTAGGCAAAAATTCTAGAGAAAATCTTTTATTGCTATTTTGTAAAAACGGCAACAAAAATTAAACAAAACCATACCTACCCTCTTTTCTCTCTTCTTCAGTTTGAAAGTCTTTACCAAAGAAGAATCCCAATCCTGTTGACAATTACAGTGTATTAATTCTTTCCTGTGGTTAGGCCTCCCCTAAACCCTGTGCAAATAAACTTACAGAGAACTTTAAAGGCTTTCTGACTCAGGCTACCTAACTTACAATTTGAGGAGGGGGGAAGGGAGGGTCTCAAGTGTAGCTACAGAGCGATAGTATGTTAACATGCTTTCTTTCCAAAATTGAAGCTATTATAATAGAATCAGGAATCAATACCTCAGAGGCAGAAAAGGTTAAAGAATCAACTTCTGTCGTGATTATCTCCAGTGCCTGGTCCTTTATCTATGATTATTTTTGTAATTAGTTTTAGAACTTACAGAATCTTAGGTGCTATACTGATCGTGTTGTATGTGATTCTTGCTCTTAAGGGATTATTATTACTTAATCAGATGTTCTGCACAATATATACCCACTTTAGTTCCAGTTTAGGTTTTGTTTCTCAAACATCCCTCTTCCTTGGGCCCCAACAAACACATTCACCACTAAAGAATTATTTTTTACTGTAGTCTAGTTTCACTTCACTTATTTTAACCATTTACATTCAGTTTTAGTAGCTACCTGTAACTTCCTTACTCCTCATAATCCCTGAAAACACAAACCCCAGAAACAGTAGTACATAGCAAATAGTAGCTTAGCTAAATAAATTTAATCTCTCTAATTCACAGTCAAGTAATTTAGCTACTCATGGTTTGATTCAGTTTCAGTTACAACAGATATACCATAAATAGGTCTAGCTCCAAAATCAGCTATGAATATGTTCTACTTTTTTTTTTTTTAAGTTTTTACTTATTTATTTTGCGAGAAAGAAAGAGCCAGAGAGAGGGAGAGAGACAATCAAAAGTAGGCCCACACCGCCAGTGCGGAGCCTGATGTGGGGCTCGAACTCAAGGAACCATAAGATCATGCATGACCTGAGCTGAAACTAAAAGTTGGACACTTAACCAACTGAGCCACCCAGGCACCCCATTCTAGTTTTATTATATATTCCAGACCTATTCATATCATTCCTTATTTCAAAAAGGGGTACTTAGTATTAGTACTTATATCTATAAAATGGCAATGATTTCCTCAAACACTGATTTGGGACACAACGCTCCTAGCCCACGTAACAAGTAGCTGTCACTTATTTCGCTATCAGAAAACCAACCACGGATAACCTCCTGATTTATTGATTTGCTAGCTTTCAGCCAGCGAAACAGGAAAGATACACAAACCAATAAACCACCAGCTTCTGAACATCAAACAAAGACTGAAATCTCAGGAGATGACCTTTTATGCAGAAACACCACCTTACGTTAAGAAAAAGGTGCTGCCCCACAAAAGCAAGGTAACAAAGAGTTTAGATACATTAACCATTGTTGAGCAAAGCATTATAGAGTGTCTGGAAACTCTGTCAGTCTTCTGGCAAAAGTTCCAGAGCATTGGTTTCTTTCTAATTGTGAAGTTAGTTTTCCTCAAGAATCAAACTAATTCTGAAATAAGGCACAAGTCTATTATTTCCAAGAGCAGAAAATAAACCCTGACTGGGTAGAGTCTGGGTAACTTTTTTTTTTTTTTTTTTTTTTTTGCTAGCTGGGGCTTTTTAATAAGCCAAGATATAGTCAATTAGTACAAGTAGTTCACAGATCCGCTAAAGAAATTTAACCTCATGCCAAACCCTGAATTCTATATTCTCGCTTCCAGAAACTAAATGTATAAGCCAGTCTCTTACAGCTCGTGTAGACTTTTATCTTAAAACGCTAGCTCAGTATCTATAACACATCAACTATTAAAACAGTAATAAAGGAACTTCAGAGGACAGGAGATATTCCTAAGGGAGCAGGGGTTGAAAAAAAAAAAGACAATTCTCAGAGATCAAATGTTCATTACCAGCGATTCATCAGTCTTGTCAAAGCTGATATCTGATAAAATGGAACCAGATTCGTCAATAGTTGACAATCTAGATGAGGCAAACAATACAGTATTAGAGAAGACTGTGAATACAAAATCCATGAACACCCAGAACGAGTCACAGTGGTCATGTAACACCAGCAATTTCACAGCAGTACTTTCCTATGGAGACAACTACAAGCTCAAAGCCTAGTTGTGGTGGTTGCTTGCTATGGTTTCCGTGGGAGAGCGCAGCTGCACGTGCATGAGTACACACGCAGCAGGCTGCTTTTTCAGCAAAGACTTCACAGCAGCAGTTGAAAGTTACAGTTGGGAGCATGGGTGCTACTCCCTGCGGAATAGGCTACTAAAAATTCACAGGCAGAAGAATGAAGTTTAACCTGATCCTAATTGTGGTTGCTTTCTACAAGAAAGAGTATTACCCAGCATTAGCTTTTGAAGAAATTAAGCCCATATATCTTCTCAGTTATAAAGATTCCCCATAAAACAACCAAGCAACAAAATAAATAGCTTTAAGAGTGCTGACCTTTCCCTACGTGTTGTATTGGGGGTGTTAAATTCAAAGCCTGGTTGAGACTATTTAAATAGTGATGCAGTGGAACCAAAATTATGGTCTGGTCTTGTCTCACAGAAGGCCTTCTAAACCCGAAGAGCTACAAGAGATCTCTGGAGAGTAAACACTGAAAGTATTGCTGAACTGCCACTTTCACCTTTAGGTTTCTTAGCAATGAGCAGGATTAGTTATTGATGTGCAATTTAGCGCCAACATCAAAATTTTACCCAGGGTGAAACCACATCCTAAGGAAAGATCAAAAACAAAACAAGATAAAAGAAATAGGGAGGCCCTTGTGCCTTTATTTCCCACCCACCCTTCCTCCAAAGTCTTTTTCTGCTTTATTCAGCACACATTCCAGAAGCCGTATATTTAAGAGTTCAGATAACAAGAACTTCTGACAGCTGCATTGCTTGTGATCAGATAACAACAGATGCAGTTTCCCCACCTTTTGTTCCCAGCATTGCCGCTGGATGGTTGGCCCCTGTTGAGAAAAGCCAGAGCTGATTTTTGCTCCTCACTTAGTTGAATGCTGCCAGATGTGTCACACATGAGCATCTCTCGAATCAGCTGAATCTGTCTTTCCTGCAGACCAAAGCAGAGTAGAACATCCTAGCTAACCAGGGGAGAAAGCTTCACCTCAAATTTATGGGACAGACAGACCAGAAGACATTAAAATACAGCATTATGCAAATGAGCCTCCAGGAAGTCTGCTACACCAATAGCATATTAATTCACATCAAGCCCAGATTGTGCTTCTGATTTCTGACTGGTAAAATGAACTCCATATAGAATAGTGGGGTTTCTGCTACTAGACTTTTGGGTCAACCTGCTAATCCAAGACAGTATTGCAAAATGAGAGTCCTAAAATAGATTTCACATAGCAAAAACAATTTAGTGTCATTTTATCAGGACAATTATTGGCCTCTTTTATGGATCAAAGCAGCCACCCACCTTTCTAAACAGTGGAACAAAATGCATTAAAATGGATACAAAGCTGTGACGCACTGGAACCAGTCAATTTGAGCTTACTGAGGCATTTAACACTGTACCAAGATGGATTAGTGCCTCCTCGTAAAGGCTTTCCTTTGTATCATGACCCACCCTGGTACATCAAAATGATAGTGTTCCCCGTTAGTCACATTGCTCAACTGGCTGAACATGCCCAGCCCCTGACCCTGAATCAGGAGCGGTAATGAAGGAAAAACCTAAGAGTTGTCTTGCCTGTATCAATAACAAAGTACCAGCTACCGACAAAAGGATGAGGACATTCTGGGTAGCAGAAGAGAGAGCCAACATCTTGTGACAGATCAAGCATACTAGGAATTCCCTAGTTTTCTCTAAATTCTCATTTGAAATGTATTAAGTCAGAGTTTCAAGTGTAAAAGAGAAAAAAAATTTCAATTTCAACCTATGAAGAACAGGATTTCCTACACTGCAATTTCATCTCCCATCAAGGCCAAGTTGTCATTGGACAGGTTGCTTTTAGTTCTATAATGTGGAAAAAAGGGAGCGTAACCGGCGGGTGGAAACGTTACCAGATGACGCTGCCCCCTCCCCCCACCGCACGGTTCTGGCATAGAGAACAATACACACCAGCTTCTCACAGTCAGCCTCAGCTCGCTGTCTCCGTTTGATCTCGACATCCACCTGATTGCGTGCGTGCTTCAGCTTAACATCCAGCGCACTACGCTCAGTCTCTGCTTTCATCAAAAGATCCTTGTACTTCCCCAGCTCATGGTCTGTTCTCTGCCACTTTTTACGGAAATCTTCAAAGTCTTTTGCCAACTGGATGAATTCTAAGGAAAGGGGGAAACTTCAGTCATTCAAGCACCAAACAGGGTACAATGCTCTAACGAATGAGTCCTCTAGTTAGTTTTCCTCCAAATTTTTAACTAAGGGATCAGCTAGACTCTGGGCAAATCTACCTGAAAATAACCAGGAGCAGGTCTGGATATATGTTCATCACCCGACATGTCAGCTTTGTGGAAAGCAATTCCTGTTTCGATAGGCTACTTACTTTGGCTTAGCCAGTGGCATCTGCTATGGAATAAGGAAATCATTAGTCACCTGGCTCCAGATGTAATACCAACACTGAATGCTCCTGAACAGAAGGCAATCAAAGGGGGATACCTTTGGGGCAGCTGTCACGCACCAGGACAGTTACAGCTATAAAACAAAAACAGCCTCCTTTAGAGTCACGCATTGTTGCGCCAGAGAGACGTTAAATAGCAAATTCAAATATAACTGCTGTAATATGCTCCGGTAGATGTAGATTAATATTATAGATGTCTGGGCCTGCAATTCCATTCAACTATATAATTATACAAATATTGATTTGAAAGTAAAGAGCCAATTTGCTTGTGCTGTTTAACACTGCCCTGAAGGGTATGCAAACATTTATGTGGGAAAGACACAGTAAGAACAGATCATAGTAACTTAGGGTGAGTCACTGATGGCAGAATGTGGACTCTCCTCAAATGTCTGCAGAGAGAGCATCACTTCCAAGGCAGTGCCTCAAAGCAGGATAACCCTGGTGCATTCACACTTGCCACCTGCTATTTGGCAAAGACTATTCAACACTGCCTTCCTATTTTCCAGTTACCTTCAATCTATCTCTAGGCATCACTCCCCACCACAGTCATGGAGGAAGTTCCCAAGGTGTACATCTGCTGCTGGTCAAACTAACCCAGTTTACAGTCGAAACTAGGCCACAGGCACACAAAGCTAGCAGATTCTTGGGTAGTAAGGGCACTTTTCCTATTTGAATTTAACCTAAGAGCACAGAAACATGAATATAGTGCCCTTTTAAAGCAGTTTTAATAATTTGACTAAATTTCATACCTACAAACTAGGATGCCAATTCAATCTAGACAAAGCAAGTCTTACACATAAGGACACTTCAGTTTATAACAACAGGTTTTAGCAGAACAGGGTATTATGACCTAGTTATCTTAGACAATGCAAATATCAAAGATACACACACACACAAATATGTATCTACATATAGCTTTAAATGGTATGCTGGTTTTGTTAACTGTTTAGAACACATTACTATGTTTTTTCCTCCTGAATTTAAAGAAAAAGAGGGGCACCTAGGTGGCTCCATCAGTTAAGCATCCAACTCTTAATTTCAGCTCCGGTCATGATCTCATGGTCCTGTGAGATTGAGCTTCACGTTGGGCTCTGTACACTCTCCCTCTCTCTCTCTCAAAATAAATAAACATTTAAAAAAATAATAAAAGAAGGGGCACCTGGGTGGCTGAGTCAATTGAGCATCTTACTTCAGCCTGGGTCATAATCTCACGGTTTGTGGGTTGGAGCCCCACATCGGGCTCTCTACTATCAGCCTGGAGCATTCCCCGCTTCAGATCCTGTCTCCCTCTCTGCCCCTCCCCTGCTTGTGCTCTCTCTCACAAAAATGAACATTAAAAAAATAAAAAGAAAGAAAAAGAAAACAAACAATATTTCCTTTTGCATATTTATTTCAACAATGTAGACTCACAAAACTTTTTTAAAGAGCTCGTTCTTAGCCACATTCACTTTGGCAATTCATCAAGTGGTACACTTTACGATTTGTGTACTTTTCTGATGTATGAAATAGCACTTCAATATCAAGAAATAAAGAACAAGAAACACACTTTTCAACTATACATCCAAAATCTTTCTAGCTCCACATTGAGGTCAATTAAATATTTCTAAATACAGTGCTGCACACACACTCAAATATCTAGTGAATTGAAAAACAATTTTGAGGAAAGATTTCCATTGGACCTAATTGTGCTGGTTTGTTTGTTCTTTAGGATACTCCTCCTTGGTAAGTCTTGTTAAATTTGAGTTTTTTTTTTTTTTTTTTAATTTTTTTCAACGTTTTTTATTTATTTTTGGGACAGAGAGAGACAGAGCATGAACGGGGGAGGGGCAGAGAGAGAGGGAGACACAGAATCGGAAACAGGCTCCAGGCTCCGAGCCATCAGCCCAGAGCCTGACGCGGGGCTCGAACTCCCGGACCGCGAGATCGTGACCTGGCTGATGTCGGACGCTTAACCGACTGCGCCACCCAGGCGCCCCTAAATTTGAGTTTTAATCCCTATTCATTGTTAATTGGCATATATTATAGGTCCAACCAAATTGGACAAAGGAACTCAAACCAAATAAAGTATAAGTACATTTCAAGGGAAGACTTCCTATATTAATCGTACAAATGACTAAATCATTAGTGCAACTTGATTTATGTTAGACCAAAATCAGAACATCTGTGTACCTACGATACTACTTACATACAATTCTGTTATGAATGAACTAAGTTTGCTAGAATGGGTCAAAATGGCATGTCAGGGACATGGGTGGCACTGAGCCACTGGGTGGCTCAGTCAGGTGAGCATCTGACTCTTGATTTCGGCTCAGGGTCGTGGGATCGAGCCCTACACCAGGCTCCACTCAGTGTGGAACCTATTTAAGATTCTCGCTCTTTCTCTCTCTCTCTCCCTCTGCCCCTCTCCCCTGCTCACACCGTCTCTCTAAAATTAAAAAAAAAGAGGGGGGGAACACCTGGGTAGCTCAGTCAGTTAAGCATCCAACTGTGGCTCGGGTCAAGATCGCAGAGTTTGTGAGTTCGAGCCCTGCATCAGGCTCTGTGCTAACAGCTCAGAGCCTGGAGCCTGCTTCGGATTCTGTGTCTCCCTCTCTCTCTGTCCCTCCCCTGCTCACACTCTGTCTCTCTCTCTCTC